TTTATATTGTTTGTAAGTTTGTAAAACTTTCATAAACCATTGTAAAACGTATTTGTATGAAAGAAAACTGTGTATCAATCTTGCTGGCAAATATAATAAACTAACTATATATCGGCTCTAATTTAACTACTAAACCCAAAGTACAATTTAACTGCTGAATTTAAAGTATCAGTTAATTCGGTTTCAAATCATTTGAAATTCTAATACGAAACTATATATATATATACTGTCCGACTGAGTCCTAGAACTTTTTACAAACTACGAGACGTTATGATGTAACAATACACACTTAATGCTACAATAAAAATTCAGAAGGTTCGAGCAACATGGAGTCAATTCAGAACAACTGAACAGCACAACAAATGATTCATAAACAACTATGTTATGTAAGCAAACCTGCGATAACTTTGCTTCTAAAACTAATTTACTTTAATGTTTGCATAATATAAAGTAAATAATGGTCTTGTGTCAAACGTAAAATCAACCTGTCGTGTATATCTAACAGCTACATTACAGATGCATCTTATATACTAAGGTTAAACTAACTCAGAAAGGCTTGCACTTTTGTGAAGTTGGAACAATTTAATATTTAACTAATTCTAACAAGGTAATTATATCAGGACAGTCACTTCTCAATGCTCAAGATGTTGATGTACCTACCATTGCAGGAAATAAAACATCATGAAACAGCTAAACCTCTGGCCTCAGTTGTACTTAAGCAACAATATTTTTATTCACTCCAGAAATATTAACCTATCAAGTCATCCACTGAGCTGTAAATTGATTGAAACAAAGACGTTCAATGGTGAAATTATTAGTCACAATAAGGAATACAACAATAAGGAACAGTCAGCTCCACCTTCCACAATGCATGGACAACCAAACCTCTTTTATTACGTTGCTCCTTTCTCAAAACTGAAATCCACACTTACTAAAAATTAAGTTTTTTCACTAGCAAGGAATTGAATCAGCCCATCATGATATAATTTAATTTGAGAGCACAGTAGCAAAAAATTCTGAATGCAACTGAATAGAAAATATTTATCTCAAACTTCAATTGATTAAAATTAATTATAATACATTAGTGCAGATAGTTGATATAGGTATATAGCAGTTAGATATTAGTAGGCAGCCCTACAGGGCCATTTGTCATTTAAAACACACACAATATGCCTTGTAGGACCATCTGCCTATAAAATCTTAGCAAGAACAGCTGCCTATACAAACACTACCCTTTTTAATACAACCCATCTTTAGAAACAATGTCTTTAGTAACACCATCTGCCTATAGAACTTTGGTACCAGCATCCAACTATAGTAACAGATCCTCTGGTATCGAACTAAGACAAACAGTGTCCTCTGGTGTCACTTGGTGGACCCCTGAGACAGTCGCATTCTTTAGTGCCTATTACATTACAATTATTTAACCTTAGGTGTCGGATTAAAAGTTTCATCTGCATATAGAAACACCTTCTACCTTTGTCACCCACACACAATGTCCTAATAAGACCATCTGCCTACAAAATCTTACTAAGACCATCTGCCTATGCAAACACTACCCTTAGTAATACAATCCATCTATAGAAGCATTGCCCTTAGTAACACCATCCGCTTATAGAACCTTGGTAACACCATCCACCTTAGTAACAGGCCCTCTGATATCGAACTATGATATCAACCCCTCCCCTAAGAGAGCAGCTTCCTCTGATGTCATTTTGTGGAACTATGACATCATTATTTCTACCCCTACCCTCTCCTGAGACAGCCAAACAGCGAATGCGTCTGAACAATCGCCCCAACTACTGTAGTTAGTGGTTAATATGCTCCAACTACAAATCTAGAGGATCGTGATTTGCATAGTGTTTCGGTAAAAATACTCTCTATACCTAGAACCATGGGTGCACTATGAAAATGGTAGTGAATCCCCAATGTTCATTCAGACAGGCCTAGCCCAGGAGTTTACAGTGGACGCTGTTTTCTAGCTGCCTTTGCTCTATTCTACCAGCTCACAACTATAGACGTCTATGCACATATAATCCTTGTGTAGCTTTCCTCAAACAATTATAGATAATCTAAGTTATTTTCTTTGTTATTCTTCTTATTGTTGTTCTCAGACCATTGTTAAAATGGTTAGCTCTATTGTTTTAAATTTTTATTTTTTTCAGATAAACATTAGAAAAACTTTTATTCTTTTTATCCTCTTTATATTATCGTGAATGATTTGGAAAGAATTGTTTTAGCATGGTTTAATTTTCGTGTTTTATGCTTTATTCTTCCTATTATTCCCTGACTATTATTGCAAATTTTCAACAAATGTCAGGAAGAACTAAGTAAAGTTTTTACTAAAATTTCATGCCATTAATTTTCACGACGCGTTACAGCTGGAAATATTGATTGTTAATATCAATAATATCACAAGTCTGCGATGGTTTTATTGTCTTGAAGTTTTTACATGTTCTACACTCTACAGTAATTCATGTAAGATGATCCGAAAATGATATACATTTTTGTCCATCACGTACAAATTTTTCACAAAATGTCATAATACAATACATAAAAGAAAGACTACAACACTAAAAGACGTAGATTTCACAAAAAATCAGGATGGTGACATCAATGTTCTTCCCTTTTCTTCAGTTTGTTTGTATTTTTGTTAACAAACACAAGAAAAAAAATGTTCATTGTGGTAAATGAAATAATAATTTGATCTAAGTAAGAGTTTTTCTTCCTGATTTGTAAAATATCCTTACAAGATTGAAAAATATGAATATTGTTTTCAAAATCTGCGTCGCGGAATTATGGAATATCCGTTATTAAATCCAAAACAACTTTTATGAAGTATAAATTCGCAGGCCTGTGTAATTATTATTAACTATTTTTGTTCACTTTTTACAGAAACTACAAATCTGTAGCACTTAAAAAATACTTCAAAAAAACCAATGTGATATTAAGACATCAACATTCATGCATATAATTTTAATAATAACAATTCTTAGATGTATCTTTATCAAAACTGCCATTTTATCTGTTGAAATTTGTAATTTCGAGGGAGTCACCACACACCATCTATACTAATGTATTGACTCTGAGGCTTATAACGAACATCCACCTTACAATACAAGGAATATTTTTGGCATCACGTGCATTTGAACGCAGGTAGCTGATTCCGAAAACCAGAACTATTCCACATTGGCAACCAACTCAATCTAATGAATCTTAAATATCTTTACTTTCTTATGAAATATAAAGTATAAATACGTAGTAGTTTCTGCAGTACATTCGATACACTAGGCCTTATCACTTAATTTAGATCAGAAAAGAATATAAAAACCAATTCAAGTATTAATTATCAAATTGTTTGTGATATATAATGGATATATGTTTAGATTGTGAACCTGTGGGTGATAGTCCAAATCCACTAGGCTGGTTACACAAGACTAGCCCAAGAGTTAGCAGTGGGTGTTGATGACTAGTTATTGCCTTCCCTCTAGTCTATCAGCTCAAGATTAGGGATGGCTAGCACAGATAGTCCTTGATTATCTGTGCACGAATATCTTTAAAACAAACAAAGAACTGATATTTAACCTAAGACCTACCTCTTGGTAAGGATGCTAGAGTCAAGTCGTGATCAATCATCTGACCCCAGGACATGACGAGAATTGACAGCTCACCGCTAGGGTTGTCAAAGTCGGGATGAATGAAAGTACTAATTAACCGAGCTGGTGGTAAAGGTCCTCCGCTTACTGATATTCGCGGTGCTGAGATTCCTAAGTACAGATAAGGAAAAAGTATATCAAAACTTTGTTATGGACTGGGTAATATGTGAGATTTAATTGCTAATTTAGACTCAGCTAACTGTAATAGCTGCTTCCCAGAAATCTTAATGTTATGCCAAAGCCTTGTACAACTCTGAAAAATTAGTCAGGTACAAAGCAGGGACAAAACTAGAATTGTATGAACCAGTAACACACAGGACTATTTAAGTTAATATTAGTCATTCAGTTATTATTACTGATGTCCTGTACACAAATTAACTATACCAGGATTGCATGGTGTTCTGCAGAAAATACAACAAATTGGTTGATTTTACATTTTAAATATCCTAAGTTCTGTTAAATCCTTTTGCTGCACCATTTCATGCCAACTTTGGTGTGTGATCACTGTTGTTAACTTGTAGTGTATATATATACTTTTAGCAATGGAATAGCATTAAAAGAAAATAATTGTGAGGTATTAATTTACAAAACATAGGATTTTATTTTTTATTTTAATCAACATAATGTGCAGGTTAAAACTAAAAAAGAGCTTCTGATAAAAAATAAGCAAACTAGATCAGAATAGCAAAATGAGTTAACTGGATCAGAACATAAAAATGAATTAATCATATCATAACATAAAATAATTTAACGAAACCAATCTTATATATACAAGTTAGAATAAAGAATATAATTAAATGTTTCAAGCTAGTACTAAAATCTTTAATGATTAAAGTGGACTGAACCATCATTTATGTGCTCATATTGTTAACTATATTTCGCTCATTACATGATTCTGCTGAAAATATAGATAGCGTAACCCAAAATATACACCTTCTTTTTATAAAATCTAAGATAACTTACAAAAATCACATAACAATGTGATGTTTCCTGAAGTTTAAAGCTGGATGTCAATCATTATTAGTTACTTTCTCTGTTAAAACAATGGTTTCTTATTTAATTAATTATTCAAATGGTAAATATAAATCACTTGTTATAATTCTAACAATTGTTAGAATTGTTATAATTTAGCCATTTTTTTCTAAATGGCTAAAAACAGCAATCTTTTAATTGATTTCCAGTAAGAAACATGTATGCAGTAAAGTGTTCCAGATTATTCTTACCAATGTAGCTCTTCACTCAATACCAGAGTAGTTAGGGCATTACTTCAGATACTGCATACTGATTGGCTGCCTCAGATGGAAAGCATGGATAGAGATGATGACACCATAGTTACAAGTGGAACCAGAGGGAATGTGTGGTCGTGCTGCTATGGCACATCACCGGCAGACGTTGCCTGCCATCAGAGGACATGTCACTAAGGCTACGAAGTGGTACCAGAGAGTGTATTGCTATGAAGTGTGTGAAGATAGTTCACAAGCAAACCACCAGAGGGTGATGAAGGTCAATGTGGCATCAACTTTATAGTAGTCATCAAAGTTTTAAGATTAATAATGTCATTTAATTTACATGAAATTGTTTCCTGTTTCATTTTATAAGTAAAACATTAAATCTCATATTTTAATCTTAACATCTTTATATTTCTTTTGCTTGTGTAAAGTTTACAAAGGCTGACAATGGTTCCATGAGCAGATGATGTTATTATTACAAGGTCTTACTAAAAGTTTATAGGCAGGTGGTCTTACTAGCCATATTGTGTGTGTTTTACAAAGGTATATGGTGTTTCTATATGCAGACATTTTTACTATACTTCCGTAGGATTGCATACAGATTTCAACTTTTCACAATTTGTATTTATAGTTTTCATTTTTATATTTAATTGCATATATTTTACAAAGGCGAATGGTGCTACTAGGTGGATTGTGTTACTAAGGGTAGTATTTGTATAAATGGATGATGTTTCTATAAACTAATAGTTCAATAGGATGATAATATCATCGTAGGGTGTCTCAATATGAGATTACATCATCAATGTCTAGATTTAATTATTGTCCTAAAAGTTACAAGTAAAACCATTATTTTAAAGAGACAACTATTATAACAACTGTTATATACGTCAGTTTTTATCACAAATAATATCTATTATTTGAATGCAGCTAATGTTATAGTCAATAATTTACCTCACATACATTTACAATTATCTATCACTTTATGTATAAAACACTTCCCTAATTCATTAGTTGTAAAGTTTCCACTTCCATATTTAACGTACGTGACATACGTTTAGAATTTTCTGATGTTTTATATGCAAAACGCTTATCACTATCCCATTTGTTTTATAGTTATATAAGACACATTCATCCAGAAAAGTATACTTATTTAAATCTCTAAATAATATACAATAATTTTCATGTCTAGCTTTATAAATTGATTTATTTCACTAAAACTTAATTTTAAAATATCTATGTAAATAACAATGTTTAACCATTACTGTTGTAGAAAATTATATTCTTACCTTTCTGTAGATATTTTCAGTTTGAATATTAAATGAAGTTTTACATATAGTGGTTCTTTCCACTTCTATCTGAAGTCATTAACATTCAATGCAAATGATAGAAAGGACAACGCATAAAATCACCCAAATGGTGTGGACATTTCACCCCATTGGATATATTTATTCTGACTCATAGTTGACAAATGTCGACCTTTTACTAAGAGAGGAGGCTGATAAAATTATAAGTTCAGTTATTCAAACACTACATAATCATATAGTTTCTACATAAATTCAAAAATAGTAGATTATAAATTTAATGTTTACCATACTTTAACTTAACTAGTGATACTCAGCTTTTCTATGTCACTGAATTTAAAAATCAATAAACATAGCTTACTGATTCTTTAACTTTATATAATGATTCAAAACACAAAATGTGCATTCATGATATTCCATTTCTCAATATTTGATGGGACATGTACATTTCAGTTAGTGTACAATTAATGTATATTTTCTATTCAATTAGACACATGAACTGATTATTCACGTTTACAACAAATGTGAATTACCATCTAATACAAGTCTCCATATAGAATGGTGTCATCAATGTATGTAAATAAGATCACAAACTCTAAATATAATTGTTGTTACACATACTGAAAAATGTATTTACAAAATTTAGTAAAATCGCAGAGTTAACGAGCTTATTGAAACATTTATTAACTAAACTTCAAGGTACATTAATATATTATTTATATAAACATCTTAGTTTATAAAATACTGGATTAACTTTCAAACAACTTTTGTAAATTATATCTATTAGGATGATTCAAAAATTTCAAATATCGAGAAGCATCTCATCAATTTGTTCCTCTTGATTAAAAAGTACTTTGAGTAAATTTTTATTGTATTTAGATCACATTTAAATGCTGCTACCATATAAAATGTTTCTAGCTAAGGCAGCAATTATGGGTGCTCAAGCAACAGGGTTAAACTCTCAGCACAATGTTAACTTGTGTCGAGCGAGGGTGCTTTTCTTTCACTCCAATGTCGATGTAGGCTATAGTTCGTGCATCCCCAAGGTCACAGTTAAAATTTATTTGCACAACATGCTGACAGTGGGCTGGTATGCAATTTTAGGAACTACTGTTCAGGTAAGAAAATATTTGTTTACTGTTAGTCATATTATTTGCAATCTTAATTGTTGTTTTCTGAATTTCGCGCAAA